GAATGTTAGCTAAATATGCTTTCACTAGGGTAACCCTACCTCCAATGTTCAAGAAAAAACTTCCCATACATGCAAGCACACCTCTTCTCAATTTTTCAGTAATTACTTTGCGATGTTTGTTTTTAATCCATGTGTTACAAATAGGGACATTTATAGAACCTCCCTGACTCACAAGTAAAAAGTTCATGGTATAGTCTAGTTTTTGAATAGCCTCTCCAAAAAGGAAGAGCTCAGTCCTCTACAAGTTAATGGTCAACCCTAACATTTGCACAAACGGACACATGATTAATTCAAGATTTCTTGCACTAATTTCATCATCTTTGCAATAAAAATGGTATCATCCACATAGTGTAACATATTCACCCCCTTTTCTAGATTTGTCCTTAAAACTCCTTTGACAAAACCATTTTGCCTATTTTTTCCCATAGTACTGGCCAAAGTATCGATAGCCGAATCAAAGTATAATGGTGATAGGGCATCCTTCCGCGTCAAGCCTTTATGTGTTTTAAAGGAAGGACCAATGACATTATTGACTTTGACTCCCACATGTCCCCCTCTCATAGTATGCATAATCCAATCACAACATTGATTGGGGAAATTTTTTGAGTTTAAGCATCTCACAAACAAGGAGCCATTTGATCTTGTCACGAGATTTTTGAAAATGAGGGTATGTTTCTTTTTGTGATGTATAGAAATCAAGCTATATGAAGAATAGCCACTCCTTCCACAATATATCTACCTTTAACAAAACTAGTTTGAGTTTGTGAGATAACATAATTCACCGCTTTACAAAGTCTATTCATCAGAACTTTAGAAATAATTTTGACGTACATTCAATGAAAAGTTAGGCCTAAACTTTTAATTCTTTTGGTAATAATACCACAATTCAATATAGCAATATCTGACACAACTATGTGGAAGTAATCTAGCAATTCATTTAATAAATCCCATGCCAACACCCCCACAAATGTTACTATAAACCAACCGGTAAACCATCAGGACCAAGGCTTTTTTCATTTGAAACATCACAGTTTGTAACTCTTCCATATGGAAAGGTTCCATTAATTTTTTAGCATATCTATCAGAGGTTTTGGAAGTCTCTGAAACATTCGAGGAAATAGTAGATTACTTAACATGTCCAAACATTTTTTTAATAAAAAATAGTAATATAGCTCAATAGATAGGTTCTCTCCCTCAATCACCCCTACATCTTGCTCCAGGGAAGCAATTCAATTTCTCATCCATTTGCCAGTGGCTTTAGCATGATATCATCTAGTGTTACTATCACCCTCCAAAATTATTTCTCTATCTTTATATCTCTCCAGGCACTTCATCTCTTCTTGTTTCAGAATTCGCCCCAATTGGTCCTTTAGATCTTTGTGCTCATTTCTCTCATGAGCAGACAGACCACTAATCCCAACATTTTTTATCAATGGTGTCTAGATTAGCTAGGAGATCACTTTTGATCATCATACACCAAGCATCATCATTCTTATTCCACTCCATAACTTTTGTCCTAAGGATTCTCAATCATTTCTACCATCTATTTATACTAGAAACACCATAATGTACATTACAGGTAGAAATGACAAATTCTTTAAAGCCATCTCTCAACATCTAAGAGTGCTCAAACCTAAAAATGGGCTGAGAAATATTATGAGAAACAATATCAAGAATGAGAGTGGTGTGGTCATAAACATCTCCCTCTATTGCCTGAAGGAGGGAGAGTGGGTAATGTTCTTCCAAATCAGGACAAATAAAAACTCTATCCAAATTTTCATTAGTGGGATCTACCATATTATTATCCCAGGTATAATTTTCTTCTCGCAGGAGGTAATTCTCTCAACCTAGCATGTCCAATAATAGCATTAAATACAATAGGTTTATTTTTTTCAGAACCATTCCTAATGATATTAATATCTCCACCCACCAAACATGGCAGGGGATTGTCATGAGAAACCGTGAATAATCTGTTAAGAAAGCATCTTTACCATCAGTCCGAGCATCGCCATAAAACAATGTTCAAATTCCAATGAAGTTTAGCATTTTATCAAACACCATGATTCTAAAAAACAAACTCCAAGTACAACTTGGACCACATCCAACATGTCATTACTAACGCCAACCACGACATCTCCAGATCTGCCTCTAGGATGTGACCAAATTGCAAATGAATTTTCTCCAACCACACAAGTCATGAAGTTCATTTTTTTGTAATTATATTTAATACTCTCCTATAGACCAACAAAATCAAGTTTTTTCCTCCAAAATCAATCCTCTCACAAATCTCTTCGCAATATCCTGGCCAATCCCTCCGACATTCAAGAAAACACCTACCATTATTAGTAAAGATCGAGTTTTCTTTCTATGCTTTTCTTTCCTCCAATGAAGCAGTGTGCTTCACACAACCACTCACTGATGAGCCACTTCCTCTTTTTTCGACTAGAAAAAATATTCTTCAATTGGTGAAAAAAATCTTCTCCAACACCAGCATCCGAATGATCATTATTAGAGCACATGTAGAATATGAGCACCTAAAATGTCAATTGTACTTACACTATTCTCGTTAACAATATTTTGGATGTAAAAATCATTTCTCACCTGTTAAAATCATGCGTACTAATAATATCTAGATTATGATCAACCATTTTAATAGAATACCCAATATCAATTCCCACCGAATCAGACCTATGTAAAAGGAAAGAATTGGAGAGGGAAGTCATGTTTATTACCATAATTGTTTTTCAGCAACTCTTTCTTTAGCCAAATATTTCACTCTCATGTCTTCTCTATCTTTCAGTCTAGGGTAGCTTCTGGGAGGACCATTACCATCATTGTCTTGTGCAACTCCCACATGATGCTCCTAAGATTTAGCTGTTTTTGACTCAATGAAGTCAACGGTCTCCTGACTTCTATTGCAGTCATCTGGATCCAAATAAGCACCACCGTCTTTAGCTTTTTCATGACTATTGTCAACATCCAAATCTTCCCCAAGGAAAGCAACAATTTCTTTATCCAAAGCCGCCCCTCTTTGATCAATTTTATGTATTATCTGTTTTAGCATGTGTTTTTGAATACTAATATGTAGCTCTCCCTCCCCCTCTCTCCCTCCATAAGTATGATCTTCATCATAACTAACTCTAAGTCATTCTCAAACTTCCTTGTGGCTTTCAATCTAGCCTCATGACCAAAATGAGTACTCATACTTTCCTCATTTCTTCTATTGTTTCCTCAAACCGAGCCAAATTCAAGCCG